AACAGAGAAGCTAGAGCACCTCCCTTCAGTAATGTGATTGGAGAATAACCAACCACATATTCTTTTCTACACATTCATTTTATGTTCTAGTGGCATACAGTTATCAGAGGATGAATTTGGAGTTTCTTTCAACTTCTGTCCATATATTCTTACTCAACTGGATGTATTTGGTCAAGGATGGTAATGAGGCTTGAGTTGTGGGAACATGATTTTTTTAAAAAAATACTTTATTATTTTTATTTTATGTGTATGAGTGTATTGCCTGCATGTATGTGAGTTCACTCGTGTTGTGCAATGCCGCAGAGGTCAGAAGAGAGCTTCAGATTCCCCTGGAACTGGAGTTAAGGATGGTCTGTAGCTGCCATGTGGGTGCTGGGAATCAAAACCAGGTCCTCTGCAAGCGCAGTCAGTGCTCTTAACCGCTGAGCCATCTCTCCAGCCCCAGAACAAGATCTTTTTAATTGAGTGATGTCATCTGTTTTATGTGGGCATCAATCTCATATCGTTTACCACCATCTATTGCTTAACTTACTTTATCTTTGTAATAATGGTGGTAGCACCCGATATTGGTTTTACAGCACCATTGATGTGATATGCTTCAAGAGGAATGCAGGTAAATTCAAATACATCTTTCAGTTACTATCTACCTAATTAGTTTTCTGCATTTCACTCCCTGGTCAGAGAGTCATAGGGGAATTCATTCCAATGGAGTTTGGTGTCAGGAAGCAGTTCATTATTTATGACAATGACACAGCAAGGCAACTACCTGATTTGATTATGACACATAAGTATCCCTTGTCCATTTATCTAGATCCAAGTGGAAGTTCAGGCAAATGAGAAAGGTTGGAAGCTTTTGTACCAAGACAGAGAACGAGGAGATTCTTCCAATGGGCTGTCTCAAAGGAGTTGTGTTCCAATGATCAGTTCTCTGAGGAAAAGTGACTTTGTTGATGACAGTATAATCCTTTGCTGTTTCCCAGTGCCTTGTGAAGCCTAACAGGGGTGCAAAACAATTTAAGGATTAAGAACAGGATTTAAAAATTATGACAAGTTGAATCCAAATTTTCTCATTACTATTATCAAAAGACAAAACTCACAACAAATTTAGTTTTTAAAATCTTAATCACATCAGTCTCTACCCCCAACCCCACCCTCCCTCCATCTTTTTTTGGGTGCAAAACAATTCGAGGATTAAGAACAGGATTTAAAAATTATGACAAGTTGAATCCAAATTTTCTCATTACTATTATCAAAAGACAAAACTCACAACAAATTTAGTTTTTAAAATCTTAATCACATCAGTCTCTACCCCCAACCCC